TACTGATGAGGGTCCTCGTTGATGTTGATGGTTGTTTTGATGTGAGTCATGACCAGTTTTTCAAAGCATTTAGCGACTATCGGGGTGAGGGCCACTGGCCGATAGTCATTCAGACCAGTCACTGTAGAGCTTTTTGGGACTGGGATGATGGTGGCAGTCTTCAGGCAGGTGGGAACTGTCTCTAGTGTAAGTGAGGTGTTAAAGATGTCTGCCAGCACCTCACAGAGCTGATCAGCACATTCCTTCAACACTTTTCTGGGGATGTTGTCTGGGCCAGTTGCCTTGTGCGGATTAATCCTCCTGAAGGTACTCCTTACTTCGGCTGAGGTCACGCTGAGATGCTCTTCATCCGGTGGTGAGGTGAGTCTGGTGCTGGGTGGTCTGTCGGGTCTTCAAAGCGTGCATAGAACTTGTTGAGGGCATCAGGCAGAGATGGGTCTTTGGGGCATTGTTTGCTCCTTCCTTTATAATCTGTTATGCATTTAATGCCCCTCCACATGCTCCGAGGGTCTTGTGAGATGAATTGACCCTCGATCCTCTGTGCATATGTGACCTTGGCCTTCTTAATACCAGAAACCAGCTCTTTTCTTGTCCTACTCAGCTCCTCTGAGTTTCCAGACCTGAAGGCAGTGTTCCTGGCTTCCAGCAGGGTACACACCTCTGCATTCAGCCAAGGTTTTCTGTTTGGGTAGCTGTTAACATTTCTGATAGTGGAGACGGTTTCAGTACATGTACTAATGTAACCCAGAACTGAGGATGTGTATTGATCAAGATCTTGACCAATATTAGAGGTGGTCAGTTTAAGATTAAAATCAAACACCACTCTGAGCAGCAGGACCACGCTTTCCACAGAGCAACTGTGTTAACTCTTGAAACTGTGCCTGCAGTCAACCTACTTCACATATGGCGAGCAATATTATAGGCAGAAATATGAGTGTGCTATGGGGTCTCCAGTCTCTCCTATTGTTGCCAACCTGTACATGGAGGAGGTAGAAAAGAGAGCCTTGACGTCCTTTTCAGGGACACTACCAAGTCATTGGTTCAGGTATGTTGATGACACCTGGGTTAAAATTAAATCTTAGGAAGTCCAACATTTTACGACCACATCAACTCTGTGGATAAATACATCAAGTTCACACGAGAAGATGTAAAAAATGGCAGGTTGGCTTTCTTGGACTGTGAGGTTTCAGTCTCTGATAGAGGACATTTGCAAACTGAGGTGTACCGCAAACCCACCCACACAGACCAGTATTTGCAGTTTGACTCCCATCACCCTTTGGAGCACAAGTTAGGAGTCATCAGGGCTCTGTATCACAGAGCAGACAACATCCCGACTAACTCAGGAGCCAGGCAGAAGGAGAAATCCCACACAAGACAGGCTCTAGAGCAATGTGGATATCCTAATTGGGCCTTCCTGAAAGCAGAGAAGAAACCCAAACAGGACTCCAGTCAGCCATCAGGTGAAAAGGAAGAACCTAGACCCAGACCAGTGGTCATTCCATATGTTGAGGGAGTATAGAGAAACTGAGACGTTTATTGGGGGAGTGGTGGCGCAGAGGCTAGAGAGGTGGGCTTGTGATCCGAAGATCGCCGGTTCACGCCCCGGCCCCGACAACATCAAAATTGTGGGTGGGGTAGGTGAAACACCCACACTTGCCCCCACCCTCATTCGCCCCACTCTGGGCCCATGAGCAAGGCCCTTAACCCCCACCATGTGCTCCCTAAACAGGTCTCTCTTGAAAATGAGTTCTCGTGGCTCAATGAGACTAACCTGGATAAATAAAGGCTAAATGAAAAAAAATGAAAAAATTTTCTAAACACAGTGTCCCAGTGGCTTTTAAACCCCAAAATACATTACAACAAAGACTGGTTCATCCCAAAGATCCAGTCCCCCGGCATAAACAGAGTAATATTTTGTATGCTGTTCAGTGTCAGGAGGGTGATCAGTCTTACATTGGGGAAACTAAACAGCCACTGGCCAAAAGGATGGCCCAGCACAGAACAGCAACAACATCAGGCCAGGACTCTGCGGTCTACACTCATGTCTAGGCCAGCGGTCACTCTTTCAGGGATGAAGATGTTCACATCCTTGATAGAGAGGAACGATGGTTTGAGAGAGGAGTAAAGGTGGCCATCTGTGTGAAAAGAAATCATCCATCATTAAACAGGGGTGGAGGCCTCCATGTTCAACTGCCCCCTCTTACAGTGCTGTTGTTGCTACTATCACTCAGCCCTCTGTGAATAGTAAACAGCCATCAGGGTGCTAATGATCCATTGTTAGGCTGATGGGCCTTCTTGATCATGTGAGTAGCTGGTTTTGGTTGTCAGCAGCAAAACTGGTTGATCCACTTTGAGAAGGTGCTATTTATAAGACTGAGCTGAATACAGCACCTCAGACTGAGGAAGTCTTTCGAATGAAAAACGATTTCAAAATGTTTCTACTTTTTTGTTGTTGTTGTTGTTTTGCTCTATTTTGTTTTTTTGAATGTCCAGAGGACCAGATATAACTTTTTTAGATTTTTCTACCTGGATTATTAAGCATGCATCAGGATAGGATGTTGTATCTTTTTCATTGTGCTTTACATGTTTTTCAACAGAATTAATTTTCTTTTTGATATCTTTAATTTCTTCAAAAACATATTTCCCAGCTTCTAAAGCATCACTTCTTGGGTTGATCAAGTTAGCTAGCATAGCAGTAGCATCATCGGTGTGTTGGTTGCTAGTTGAGCGAGAGACATTTGGAAATGGTTTCTTGGTCACAGGTGGCTTACTGTGGGTTTCCGGGAGCAGCGATAAAGCTTTTTACGCTATTTTTTCATCTTCCTGAGAATAAGATAAACTTACAAGATATAAAAGTTCTTAACTGTGCCCTTATGCAAGAAATATGTAGAGGAAATTGCAAATAATAATAGAGGTACTGAGAGCACAGTGTAGAATGTCTTACACTACCGCCATCTTGCTGGGAGTCCAGTTTTTATACAAGACCTGTACTGTAAGATTTAAATAGAGTGGTTTTGGTTTGCCTGAATAAGAAACAAAAGCTTACGTGGTCTGAAGTTTTAATTAAAAATTTCACCTGTTTTTCCCACAGGTGTCTCTTGTGTTGCTGCTGAGACGGTGACTGTTTTGAACTTTTACCTATTACTGCTGCTAGTCCTTCTCAATGAAGTAGGTACATAAAGGAGACATTTAATATTTGTGCCTGATTCTGAATGATATACACTTCTGATTAATTTGTTTCCTGTCTCAGTTACAGAGGAGCTCAGATCCATCTCTGGACTCGTGGCTCATGCTTTCTGTCTCGCCACTACCTTCCAGGGAAACTCACTTCTGTTCGAAGCAACAGTACTCAGCAGCCCCCAGAACCCCCTTCGTCCACTTACCCTGCCTCTCTTAAACCAAAGGGTAAGGCTGAGGTCATGAAGGAGCACACCATATCTGTTTTACAGGTACAAAAAAGGCAATTTTTAACTGTATTGCAGTAGTTCTATTTCGTATAGGCTTCGCCCTTTAAGGCTATCGCTAGTGGGTTTATCCCTTCGCGCGCAGCATTGAAAACTTTAGTCCACGCCCACCTGCTGTGTGGGCCTCACCCCCGGTCCGTATAAATTACGGTGAGACCGGGTAATCGGCTCCCATTTTTTTCTTCAGCAAGCAACCAGCACTGTTTTTCGAGAAGAAGATGTCAAGTACCAGCACCATCCGCCTGTGCCTGTCCTGCCAGACCGGCTACATTTTGAGTTTTGACCGGCACGACATCTGCAAAGGATGCCTGGTTCTCCGCCATGCCGACATTGCCTCCTCCTGCCGTCCCTGTGACCTCCTCCCCGTTGAGGAGAAGCAGAGATGAGCAGCCTTGTTCAAGGCTAACATCGAGGAGTGTTTTTCCATGGCAGCGGATTGTTCGCTGGACGACACCATCGCCTTTTAGGATGCTGAGTCACAGAGCGAATTGGATGATTCCTCCAGAAAAGGCGATGTCAGCAGCAGCCCCGCTGCTCATTCCCTCCTGGAGAGCGTAGTGTTGGAACAGGGGGGCCGAGCGGATACTCACCACACCCGGGCCTATTTTCACATCGGCGAACACACCGCTCCCAGCCGTCGGTGCCCTCCTCTCGGAGCTGCCCGGCATAATCCAGGAGACTGCTGACACAAAGGGACTTTCCGTCCTTCTCCTCCCCCCGCTCAGATCGGATGATCTAGCGGGAAGGTTTGGCTCCACCCCGGCTTGCCGCCCTGACCCCATCTGGCTTCGTTTCCCAGCAGTGACGCCCTACTGGAACGAGGCTGCAGCCGGACCTGGTAAGCTGAAGGCGCCCGTCTCTACCTTCGCTCCCATCACCTGAGTGAAGGGGTTTACTGAGCGGAGCTTTCCCTCGGTCCCCCCCGGAGACAAGCCTGGCGGAGGCACTTGGAGCAAAAGTTTCCAGGTTGGACCAACGTCCTGTCCCTCCAGGGAGACATGACCAAACGGTGACGTTGCTCTCCAACCGAGCCCACCAGTGTGCTTTTCAGGCGGCTGCAGCAAACAACGTCGCCCTGCTGGCTTACAGAATTTCCAAAAGGCTGGAGGACACAGACCTGCCTGTGGAGATGAAGAGCTCGCTCTGCAAGGCGTCTGACGTCATCTTGAACTTGTACGCCTCTGCGGTCTGCCTGTCTCGCATTGCCGCCTGGATGACGATGATCCAGAGGTCCACCTGGCTCCGACTCTTCCCATCCATGCTGGAGAGGCTGCAGAAGGACCTGCTGGAGGGCCCCATCACGACGGACGCGCTGTTCGGAGCCAATTTCAAGGCAATGCTTGAGAAGTCCAAAAAGTCAGAGGAGGTGTCGGAAACTGTGCGCCACCTGATGAAGCCGCAGCCCCCCCCCCCCCCCCCCCCCCCCCCCCCCCCCGCCGCACCCCCCCCCCCCCCCCCCCCCCGCCAGCTGGAGGGATCGCAGCGGCCAGCTGCAGCAGCAGACATTCCACAGCTGCAGCAGCGACCTCTCACCCCGCTCCTCCTCCGGCCCTTCCTGCCAGAGAACAGCCCTTCTCATCACGTCAACCAGCGACTCAGCGCTTCCCCAGAGACCGTCAACAAGCGCCGCCCTGGACCAATCAGCCGCAGGGCCCACAGAGGAGGCAACACAAAAATGACTGTTTGCGGGGAATGTGTGTATTCACAATGATGGTTTAAGTTTTAAAATAAAACGAAAACATCATTCAGAGAGTAGTCTTCTGATTCCAGCCTGACTGTCCGATCGAATGATCTCACAGCGGCTTCTCTTCGCACATTCCCCACACAAAACAAGCCTGTAACCTCAAAACAGGTTTTTAAAATTTACGGCAGCTCGAGAAATCACACAAAATTCTCGCTTGACAGATCAGCTAGAAATTTTTTTTTTTCAGCAGACTGAGCCGGGAAAAAACCCTCGCTCTCAGCCCAGGTTGTTTTCTGACATTTCTGACCGCAGCAGGAGCAAACGTGTTTCTCCACGGCAACTGCAGTCTCCACCCAAACAGCGTCGCATTTCTAAAAGCGCTCACGCCTCTCCTCAGTGCGCGTCAGCCCACATCAACACTGTGAGCCCGCAGCCTGAGTGCAGCACAGAGGCGTTTTCAGGGCTCTTTCTGCGAGGCCCCCCCCTGGGTCAACCCAGGAGAATCTCCGGAGCGGGTGACGGCGGTGGGGGCTTTAACTTGGCTGACGTCCGTAAAAGACATGACACAACACAAAAACGCGTGCCCGCTCCCTGAGCGTTACGCAGAGTGGCAGCAAGTGTGTTTCTTGGACAGATTGATGGACCGTCTGATCAGCAGGGGTTACATGCTGTAGTTCGCAGCTCAACCCCCACCGTTCAGAGGGATTATAGAGACAGTTCTGTCATCTCCAGAACAGAACTCGTCTCTCCACTCAGAAGTTCAAGAACTACTGATAAAAAATGTAATTTCCAGGGTTCCCAACGGAGAGGAAAACACAGGGTTTTACTCACGTTACTTCCTGGTCCCGAAAAACAACGGCGGAATGAGACCCATCCTCGACTTGTCCATGTTCAACAGGTCGATCATGGAGAGACAATTCAACATGCTAGCAACCAAACAGCTGTTGGACAACATTCACCAGAACGATTGGTTTACCTCCATAGATTTAAAAGTCGCTTATTTTTACATACCAATTATTCCAAAGCACTGGAAATTCCTGCGCTTTTCCTTCCAGGGGATCCAGTACCAATACAACAGGCTCCCGTTCGGTTATTCCCTCGCCCCACGCACATTTTCAAAATGCATGGAGACGGCTCTGCAGCCATTACACAGAGCAGGAATGAGAATTATTTTCTATCTTGACAATCTGCTGCTGTTAACTCTATCCAGACAGGAAGCGGCTGCACAAACCAGAACGCTGACGTCACACCTGCTGAACCTGGGGTTTGCTCTAAACTGGGAAAAGAGTTCGGTTCTCCCGTCTCAGATGATTGTTTATCTGGGCGTGGAGCTAAATTCAGTCACTATGAGAGCCCGCTTATAACAGCCGAGAGCCGAAGCTCTGACAGCTCCGCCGCGTCAAAGCCCGCAGTGTAGTAACAGCTGTCTCAGTCATGAAACTTTTGGAAACAATGTCTTCAGCTCACGATGTGGTTCCGCTGGGCTTACTTCACATGAGACACCTTCAGAGATGGTTCGCCCACCTGCAAATAGATCCGGTGCGTCAGAAGAGGTGGATGATCTCTGTGCCTCCCTCCGCGGGAACCGACCTGAATCACTGGGGAAACCCCCTCACTCTGTCAGATGGAGTTCCTATCAGCAGGCCTATGTCACACGTCTCAGTTTTCACAGACGCGTCCCTGTCAGGCTGGGGAGAAACGTGCCTGTCTCAAGCGGTGGGGGCGCAGTGGCCAGCTCACACATCAGCTCATATATACAGGTCCTTCTCAAAAAATTTGCATATTGTGATAAAGGTCATTATTTTCCATAATGTAATGATAAAAATGAAACTTTCATATATTTCAGATTCATTGCACACCAACTGAAATATTTCAGGTCTTTAATTGTTTTAATACTGATGATTATGGCATACAGCTCATGAAAACCCAAAATGCCTGTCCCAAAAAATTAGCATATCATGAAAAGGTTCTCTAAACAAGCTATTAACCTAACCATCTGAATCAACGACATAACTCTAAACACCTGCAAAAGATTCCTGAGGCTTTTAAAAACTCCCAGCCTTGTTCATTACTCAAAACCGCAATCATGGGTAAGACTGCCGACCTGAAGGCTGTCCAGAAGGCCATCATTGACACCCTCAAGCAAGAGGGTAAGACACAGAAAGAAATTGCTGAACGAATAGGCTGTTCCCAGAGTGCTGTATCAAGGCACCTCAGTGGGAAGTCTGTGGGAAGGGAAAAGTGTGGCAGAAAACGCTGCACAACGAGAAGAGGTGACCGGACCCTGAGGAGGATTGTGGAAAAGGGCTGATTCCAGACCTTGGGGGACCTGCGGAAGCAGTGGACTGAGTCTGGAGTAGAAACATCCAGAGCCACCGTGCACAGGCGTGTGCAGGAAATGGGCTACAGGTGCCGCATTCCCCAGGTCAAGACACTTTTGAACCAGAAACAGCGGCAGAAGCGCCTGACCTGGGCTGCAGAGAAGCAGCACTGGACTGTTGCTCAGTGGTCCAAAGTACTTTTTTCGGATGAAAGCAAATTTTGCATGTCATTCAGAAATCAAGATGCCAGAGTCTGGAGGAAGACTGGGGAGAAGGAAATGCCAAAATGCCAGAAGTCCAGTGTGAAGCACCCACGGTCAGTGATGATCTGGGGTGCCATGTCAGCTGCTGGTGTTGGTTCATTGTGTTTTATCAAGGGCAGGGTCAATGCAGCTAGCTATCAGGAGATTTTGGAGCACTTCATGCTTCCATCTGCTGAAAAGCTTTATGGAGATGAAGATTTCATTTTTCAGCACGACCTGGCACTTGCTCACAGTGCCAAAACCACTGGTAAATGGTTTACTGACCATGGTATTACTGTGCTCAATTGGCCTGCCAACTCTCCTGACCTGAACTCCATAGAGAACCTGTGGGATATTGTGAAGAGAAAGTTGAGAGACGCAAGACCCAACACTCTGGATGAGCTTAAGGCCGCTATCGAAGCATCCTGGGCCTCCAGAAGACCTCAGCAGTGCCACAGGCTGATTGCCTCCATGCCACGCCGCATTGAAGCAGTCATTCATGCAATAGGATTCCCGACCAAGTATTGAGTGCATAACTGAACATGATTATTTGAAGGTTGGCGTTTTTTGTATTAAAAACACTTGTCTTTCATTGGTGGGATGAAATATGCAAATTTTTTGGGACAGGCATTTTGGGTTTTCATGAGCTGTATGCCATAATCATCAGTATTAAAACAATTAAAGACCGGAAATATTTCAGTTGGTGTGCAATGAATCTGAAATATATGAAAGTTTCAT